AGAAAGTTCAAATAATAGTAAAGAAAATGGTTCTTCTCTGCAACTACACGTATTTTACGCGCCAAGCAAATTTAAAAACAGGATAAAAACAGGAGAGATTAACATTTAAAAAGACTTGGAATTGACTTATTTTGTCTTAATGAGTTGACTTGTTTGCCTTATATGCAACTAAAGCTCCATAGATCTAAGAGCATAGTTCGGTAATGGAGAAACGGGTGGGGATTATTGGAGCAGGAGCGAGCGGTCTACTGGCATGTAAATACACATTGGAGAGAGGTTTCAATCCAATTGTGTTTGAAGCTGAGGAATGCATTGGTGGAGTCTGGGTTCATACCTTAAAATCTACCAAACTTCAAAGTACTAGGCAAGCATACCAGTTTTCGGATTTTCCATGGCCATCATCTGTGCAAGAGAAGTATCCTAATCACAAACAGGTCAGGGAGTATTTCGATTCCTATGCACAACACTTTGGCTTATATCGTCATATAAGGTTCAACACCAAAGTAACATGTATAGATTATGTTGGAGAGTCCTATGAAGAAATGGAGTCATGGCATATGTGGGGCGGAACGGGCAAGCCCTTTGGTTCTAAAGGCAAATGGCATGTTTCAGTTGAAGATAACAAGAACGGCTCCACTGAGGTATTAAAAATTTATATATCTAAGCGAATTAAGATTCTTTGAGCTTATTTTTCTGACCTTTTTCATTTCATCAGGTGCACAAAGTGGATATTGTGATTCTTTGCATTGGAAAATTTAGTGGACTTCCATACATTCCAGAGTTCCCTCCTAATCAAGGACCGGAAGTGTTCAAAGGAAAGGTAATCCATTCCATGGACTACTCTGCCATGGACAATCAATCTGCTTCAAACTTGATCAAGGGAAAGAAGATTACAATCATTGGTTCCAAGAAATCTGCGATCGATCTTTCAGTAGAATGTGCAACATTGAATGGTCAGAAAATTTTAATTGCAGCTCCATCAATTTTAATTTTAAATTGAAATTTTAGACTTTCTTTAGTACTTTTTTTTTTAGTTGCACAATAAGGGCAATCATATTTTATTCTTTATTTTACCTCATTTGTATGTTATGCGACTCAAATTCATGATTTCTTACTTCTAGTGAAAGGAAATGACTACTGAATTATTTAAGTTGTTGACTGTATCCTTTCTGTTTTAGATTTTGATCCTTCTAGGTTTAGTAGTTAATATTAATTAGGTACTTGAAATTATTATATATATAATATAGTTATAATACCAATTGACATTAAAAACTTACAATTTTAATGTAATAATTTTGTAGTAAAGTTTTTTTATTTTGTGCTCTTAGTACCTATATTAAGAGTGCATTTATTATATCTTTTCGTAATAAATTTGTATAAAAAAATATAAATATTAATTTTTATTTAATTAATTGATCAATTATAATTATTTACATGATAATGATATTAAAATGAATATCATCTTTTATAATTTTTTATATAAATTAATTATAAAAATTTATATTTATTATATTTTAACTTATATTCTTAAAATACAAATTAGACAAATTTTTATAATATATCACATGAGTATAATCCCACATTATATCTAATCCTTACAATTATGATGTGTATGGTTTTGCAGTTTGGCATCAGATGGGGCCCTGCCCATGTGATTGTCGGTGTTACAAATTTGCAATATGAAAAATTCAAAACATAAAAAAAATTAAAAACAACAACAATACTAATCGAAATTGTCTTGTGAATGCGTATTTGTTGTTTTGTTCAACAACAATACTAATCGAAATTGTCTTGTGAATTTGTACTTGTTTTGTTCACTTCATTTGTTCTTATTCATCATTTCTTCTTTTAATTAGGAGTTCAGTACCCTTGCACTATTATTCAAAGGACTGCTCATTGGTTTATTCCCACTAATTATTTTTGGGGGGTCAACTTTGGTTACCTGTACGGGAACCGATTCTCAGAATTTTTGGTTCATAAGCCTGGGGAAACATTTCTGTCCAGCCTTTTGGCCTCCTTGCTTTCACCTTTGGTAATTTTTATCCCATTCACCAGACTCTATATTATTATTTTTTTTTAGTTTACAAATCAGTCCATGCATGAATAAACCTGTGCATTTACAGAGGTGGGGAATCTCAAAATTTGTTGAGAGCTATGTCAGATGGAAACTACCCCTTGAGAAGTATGGAATGGTACCTGAACATAGCTTTCTTCAAGCTCTTTCTTCATGTCAGCTTGGAATATTACCGGAAAATTTCTACGACAAAGTAGAAGAAGGGAGCATAGTTCTAAAGAAATCACAAAGCTTTAAGTTCTGCAGAGATGGTGTGATCATTGATAGAGAAGATGAACCATTGGAAACAGATGTTGTAATCCTTGCCACAGGATACAGTGGTGATCTCAAGCTAAAGAATATGTTCAAATCTCCATATTTCCAAAAATGCATAATGGGGAAACCGGACAGCATAGTTCCTTTGTACAGGTTAATTTGCAGCCTAATTAGCACAATCCACTTAAATTCTTTTCTTGATAACATCATCTAACTTATTTTTTTTATGCAGACAAATAATTCATCCTCGGATTCCACAGCTTGCTGTTATAGGATACTCAGAGACTCTCTCCAATTTGAGTGCCTCTGAGATGAGATGCCAATGGCTAGCACACTTCCTGGATGGAAACATTGAGTTGCCTAGCATAAGAGAAATGGAAAAAGATGTGATGCTATGGAAAAAGCACCTGAAGCAATGTTCTGGTAGGTATTTCTCTAGATTATGTGTTGGAGTTATTAACATATGGTACAATGATCAATTGTGCAAAGACATGGGACGAAAAACGCGAAGGAAGAAGGGATTTTTTGCAGAGTTGTTTCAACCTTACGGACCAACTGATTATGCAGATCTTTCCAGCTGAGGTGCTTCACTTGTAGACATGGCAGCATAAATGAATACAGTGTAGTTCCATGATGGTGATGTATACTTAATAATTTGGGCTTTTGCATATGTATAAAAGTGCAAATAAGGATATCAACTTTGTATTATTTTTATTTAAATATGTTAATTTTATCATTTTTTAAATAAAAATGTTAACTTTTAACTTTTTTTGTTTAAAGATGTCAACTTTTAACTTTTTTTGTTTAAAGATGTCAACTTTCAATTTTTTTCATTTAAGGATTAATTAGGTGGCGATACTAGACGTGGCTAATATATTTTTTTATGTTAAATACTTGAAGTGGTCCCTTAACTTTTATTTTTGAACCAATTTATCCTTAAACTTTAGAAAGTACCGAAAACATCTTTCAACTTCAATTTTTAGTAGCAATTTCGTTTTTTCGTTAGTTAAGTGCTGATGTAGTTAATTTTTTTGCTAAGTGATTGACTATTTTACATTTTCAATATTAGGTGAAAAATCCATCATGTAAAAGATGATTATGTGGATTTTTTTTCATTTTAAATAATTTTAAAACTACTTTAATTCTTAATTTTACTTTATTTATATTTAAAAATTAAAACAATTAATATATTTTCTCATTTAATTAGTCCCACCTACCATAAGTAACTCTTAATTTTTAAAGAAATAAATTAACTCTTATTTAATTTTATTAAATCAAATCTCACATACTATAATTATTTCTTAATTCATGGAAGAATCAATTAACTTTAATTTAATTTTATTAAATGGAATTTAATCATGGAAGAATCAATTCAGGAAATAATTATAGTTTATTTTAATAATTTAAACAAAAAAGAAGGTCAAGGAAGAAGAACCAAAAAATTATTTTAATTTTATTTTAATTCCATTTAATAAAATTAAAT